TTATATGGGTTCAATTATTGAAATGATGGCAAATGTCCCTGTGAAAAGGAACAAGGCCGTGTCTCATGTAATGTACCTTTTCTACCAGTGAACAGTGTCTTCCTTAACACTGATTTCATTTCCGTGCTTCGTATTGGGCTCCGTACTTTCTGCCCACCAGTGCTGAAATTAAAAACAAGAATCTACATCAACTAAGGTCTCTACCTTTATTGATTCTTCCTGCCTGTTACACTGTACATTTCTGAAGGAAGTTTATTGAAAAGAGACAAAAAAATCCATGTATGACATTCTGTTATGCATTTAATCTTATATATGTAGCACAGCACCATATGAGGGGTATCTTGAAAACATAATTGTACTGAAGTGTGATTTCCCTTTCATATCACTCCCAAGATACATCTGTAAATCAACAGTATTTTAACTTCTGGTCACCTTTAGTACTTCCAGCAATAACAATGAACAAGTTAATGCAAGCGCACGCAAGCTTTCTGGTTAAGTACCTGGAATAAGAGGGAAACCAGGAAGATCTTCATTAACAACTCAAATCATCACAAATACTGGCCAGAGGTAGCTAGAGGACCAATAATTATACAGATACCCATTCACTCATCAATTCCTTCGTTATCTCCAATTAAGTTCTGAACACTTGACCCAAGATAAGGTCCCCAAACTGTGATGTGTAATTGTGATGTGGGTTTAATTATACATAAACATATTTGCTGATTACATAACAATAAAAAGGTAAAGTGAGCCACTGAGTTGCAACCAACTTATGGTGACTCCATGAAGGTCCACCTAATGGGGTTGTCAAGGCAGAGATGAACACAGGTGGTTTGCCATCACCTTCCTCTGCATAGCAGAGGTGGTCTCCTATCCGAGTATGGACACTGCTTAGTTTCCAAGCTCTGAGGAGATCAGGCTAGTCTGAGCTATTAGGGCTGCTACACATAATAACCACCTTTAAAACCCTCTTTGGCTGATGGTCAAATGATGCCGCTAAGAAACATACTCGAGGAGCTGTTTCTGTTGGCTGCTATGGCTCTGAAATCACATGATCCTACCTGACTCTTCAGCACCATGAGGTGAGCCAGGTTTCATGCTCCATGGGAAACCACATTTATTGCATTGATTTAATCAACAAGAGGTGTAGATTCTTTACGATGGCTTGATGGGACATCAACAGGCAAGGGTATATGTATATATATTTTTAAAGAATACATAATTCAGTGGTGGCGGAAAGTGCCATCAAGTTGCAGCTGACTTACGACAACCTCACAGTGTTTTCAAGGCAAAAGATGGGCCAGAGGTTATTTGCCATTGCCTGCCACTGCATAGCAACCCTGGACTTCTTTGGTGGTCTCCCATCCAAGTACTAACCAGGCCAACCCTCCTTAGCTGCCAAGATCTCATGATATCAGGCAAGCATAACTGTATTACTTCCAGTCAAGTGTAATTTCATATACCACTTATTCTACATCCTTCTTCCACAGTAAGATTTCAGTCAAATCCATAAACTGTGTGGAGCAGTATGAGAGCCAGAACACTCAGGTCTGAATTTATACTCTTGTCATGGAAACTTGCTGTTGTGGGTCTGTCATTCTCATTCTAACCTACCTTAAAGGGCTGTCGTGTGGATCAAGTAGAGGAGAGAACAAGGTAAGCTACTTTGGGTCGACATTAGAGAGAAAGGAAGAGTATAAACAAAGTAAATAAAACCAACAAATATACCCAAAGCCAAAAGATTCCAATGAGTTCAGAAGGGACCCTTTTCAATCTTACTTCTATAGCAGCCAGAAGTGACGAAACATGAAACACAATTTTAGAGGGCTAAACTGATTACTGCAGTCAGATTTTCTGACCATTTGCTAAAAACTGTGTCAAATTCCCAACATACTCAAGACTTGTAATTATGCTTTTACTTCATGCAGCAGAAGAGACTTAGTAACCATTGTGGGCATTCACAGATCTAACCTGTCTAAGCAACCTTCTTTAGACATGTAACCAGCTCCCGACAAACTGAAATATTCCAGCTCAGACCGAAGGTGTAACACCATGGGTGCTTATTATTACCTCCGATCTATAGTATCTTGCTGCAGTTGAGTGAATCACTGCCTCTTCACCACCAGCAACTGCTCATCAAAAAATTACACAAAAACTATGCTGAAAGAAGCAAGATGAGGATAGATGTTAGAGGCAGGGATCACTGGAAAAAAGGACAGCTAGGTTCACTGCCTGTGTTAAGCTTGTATTTTAGAAGTGAAATAAACAATTCCATGCAACAAAGCGAATTTATATAACTCAACTGTGAAAGAACTTCGGATTCCCTTCTACCAACTAGGATGGGGAGGGCTTCTGGCACTGTCACAAGACAGGGAAGAGGAACAGGAAGTGCTTTCTCCTATAGTGATGTAGCATTCCTTGTTTGTTCCACCACCTCTTATGGAAGGGACAGTCCCCCAGGCTCCAAAAACAAAAAGGCAACAGCTGTTGAAGATAGGTTAGCTTAAGGCATTCACAGTGACCCCCCTCACATTTCCTTTCCCCCCGGAAATCAGGCCAGCCTCTCAAGTCTATCCTGTTCCACCCACTTCTCTGAATACTGATGGCAAAGGGCTGCCTTTCCCCCCAAATTACACAGAACCCACAAGGGGGCTCTCCTACCAGTCCTCAGTGTGGAGACAGAGCAGTATGAGGAGGACACCAGTGGCAAGAGGCTAGTACCAGAGTAACAGTGCTGTGCAACAGAGAACAGAACTATGCATACAGAAGTACAGAATCCAAACCAGAAACTGGAGGGGCATTTAGTCTGCTGAACAGGCTCAGTCTGCTGACTTGACTGAATTCATCGTTCACAAATGCAATCTGGTACCCACTGGAAAGGAATAACTCGAGCTGTTTTTATTTGTCTTTGAGGTGTGATAAATTAAGCTACTAATTGCTCTCTGTGAAGAGCCCAACCAACACATTTTTTAACAATAAAAGCAATCCACTTTATATTGTATCGAGATAGAAAGCAATAGACAATATAAGGTCCATTATAAAAACAACAACAACATTGCAACCTTTTCAACTTTGTCGAATTGGATTTCCCAGCTTGTAAAGGAACCTTAAAAACACTGGGCAGAGTTTTGAAAACATTTAATGCATTAATAACTGCTAATAAACTTCAATAGAGCTAGTGCAGGAAAATGTTTTGGTAAATTGTACCCCAGTTCTGAAAAACAGGAAATATTACTGAGTCTGTTCAACTTGTGAGAAATAAGCATAAAGAAAACAGCAATCCCCCCCAAAAAATGCGTCGTGTTTATGCCACAGAAAATATACAATAAAAGTAACAATAAACTTTAAAAGCAAAACAACATAAAGCGATTTTTAAAAATGAATGATTACTCCTGAGTATCTGTCACCATACTAAGCTTGACATGAGCTTAACATGATTAAAAATATACTAGACATTCATAGATGAAACCACCCACAATCATATGACCAAACTCACTTTAATTAAAGCTTTTATGCATATGCAAATAGGGTTTAAGCCACTTGCTAAGTGCTGGGAGCTGAGAAGAAACTTGCCCTGTGGACAAAAAATTTTTTATCTCTTGCCAACTAATTCTTGAGTGTCTGCTGCCAGCCTCTGACAGGCAGGATACCGTAATGAAGGGACAACTTCCTGATCTGCCTTCAAGATTTCTTTGTTCCTGACAGTTGGTGATTGAACACATTTACAGATATGGCACATAAAAGTAAACTGTGTCCACATAGTTAGATTTAAGCATGATAAACACCACAAAAATGAGGCCGTAAGCCACAACCCATCTGCCGCAGAGCAATTCTAAGCCAAGGAATGTGCTTCAAAACAAGCCAGTGCCACCTAAATAGCTTTAAATAAGGTAACTCTAGGCCAGGCGGCAAATGATTGCTGCTCCAATGAATGGAATCACAGGAAAGGAAATGCCAGAGGAGTAAGTATCTTTGCTCTCAAGATATTGCTTGAGTAGTATAGAGAGGCTGCTTCCAGTAGCACGTGCTGAGATGAGTTAAAGAACGGCCAAGTCTACTACAGTGAGAGGGTCTCTTTAGATCAGACACCAGTGCAAGCAGGGAGGTTACTGAAACCACAAAGTTAGTACAGCGTTAGATCTCAGTGATGTGTATTTTAACAAAAAAAGTGAACCGAAGCATCTAGGCCACAGGGTATGTCGTAGATTCTACGAATAACTTATGAAGTTGCAAATTACAGTAAACAAAATTAGGAACGCCACAGAACATATCGAGCTTTCCAACGGACTGATCAGTCATTCAAGTTCTATCCTCCACACATTGGGGGGTGGGGGTGTTTCCATCATATTTACCCAAACATAAATTCAATACTCCATCTTCACATGATACCTTTTTTTTATTACAATATCCAAAAAACTGGGTATGCAAGATTCTGGGATCAAAGGTCCTTTTCTCAATTTTCAGGAATGTGCCATCAAGATTATATTTAAAAACCATAAAGAAGGTTAAAAGTAAAGAAAGAGAAAATGCGTATTCTTCATATAACATTCTGTGTGTCTTACTACCAATCATTCCCCTTTTTTGTACCCTGATTTTTTTCCTGGAAATGCAAATATATATATATATATATATATATAATACAAATGCATGTATGTGTTGGAAGCCCCACCTACCTATAATTAGTTATGTTTATTAGTGTCAATCAGCTACAGATACATATTACTTTAAGAATTAAATACATAATTGTTTAATTCAAACAAGCAGAAGGGCAAGAAGAGAAAAGCATTATGTGGATGGCACATTTGGTTGGAGATTACCAAAACATTCAACCATTACAATTCAATGATTCTCTAAGTAATCAACTTTCAATGAAACATCTGTTGCATTTACATGTCAAAATACGCTAGATAGTTTTCTTTTACTACAATCTTACCGTAGTAGTTTAAGAAGTACTATTACAAAATGCTTTAATTAGTGTACTCTTCACAAAGAGTCAAGGAGGCAATGTAATAGTTGAGAAAAAGAGTGTAAAGAGTGCTTCTAGAAACTAGGAATTTCTGGAATATACTACTTGGTAAGCAAAATAGCTACAGAACTCACAGCCACAACTGTTAATGTCTACTATATTTCACTTAATTAGCTGCAGGTTCAGTGCATTCAAACTGTGCCCAAAGTCTCTTAATGATGAGTTCTGCTAGCGTTCTGCCAGCGTGAGCTATCCGAACAATTTAACACTGCTTTGAATTGAGAACACCCCTCATTTGTGTGAGCTAACTATGTAAACGTATACGGAGGAGGGAGTTTAGAAACCAGGGAGGAAAATGAGTGCTTGCAATGGCCACTTAGGTGAAATTTTCAACCTGAGGGAACATGAAACAACCGAAGTTTCAAAAGGCAAACAGAAAAAAAGGGGTGGGGGGGTGGGGGAATGGAAGAGAGAATATAACCAACCAAGCAAATACTTTAGAAAGAGGTCATTCTTTGAAGACTGTTTCAGACTGGTGTAGATTGCTCTGCTCTATAAAAGTGAACGTAGGACCTAAGGCTTGTAAGTTAGTAGAGGCCCGGCAGGCCTAGTCCATCTTCAATGTCACTGAAGTGCTTTGACAAGATATAACTTTTCCCCATGTTCACTGGTGAAGATGGGAGCTTTTTTGTAGTGTTCCACCAACTCATCCATAGTATTAAATCGACGCTGCCCAATGCAATAGACATTGTCCACCAACTGCACTTTGAAATGTTTGTTCTTCCCTGATGCCTTTAGAGATACTGAAAAGTCACTGGGCTGTGAACAGAAAGGGAAGAAGACATTTAAAGACAGTGATAGACAAACATACAATTTTAAGACCGCGATGAACTAATTCAGTTACATTCCTGGATCCCCTCACTGCTTCAGTGCTGCAGGTACTTCAAAACAGCAGATGACTAAAACCATGATGAGTATATGCACAGTTAAGCAAAAGCTCGTCCGCAGCTACACACAGCTGCACTATGAATAGAGACCAGAACACCGAAATTATACAAAGATGTATCACACACCAGCAATGTTCTTTTAAGCAATGGCCACAAGAGGGCCTTTCTTGCTCCATCCTGACAAAGAAGTACCTTTCAAATACATGCTAAGGTTTTAAGAGCGGGTCCTATTTAACTTTTAAGAACAGGACACACATCTACAGAATCAAATTACTTCCCTGTCACGGTATTTAAAGTATGTTTGTCCCTTACAGGTTACTATGAGACAAACTTCATGAGAGATTAATGTTTTCAGACACCCGATTTATTTTTGCCACTTGAGAGCCAGTGAGCTGTAGTGGTTAGAGTTTGGACTAGGATCCGGGAGAACCAGGCTCAAATCCCTACTCCGCCATGGAGCCTCACTGGGGGGCCTTGGCCCAGTCCCCCGCACTCCTCCCAGCCTACCTCCCAGGGTTGTTGTGAGGTGTACATGGAGGAGAGAATTAGGTAAGACACTAGGGGACCCTCTGGGAGAGAAAGTCATCACAAAATGAAGTAAACAGAAAAATGCGGTACATTTTAAAAATGCTCAGAAAAAAGTGCTTTGCAAACAGAACTTCTGGAACTGAGAAATGTCATACTTCAGTCACTCAGATTGAATCATGCCCCCCCCCCAAGCAAATATATTTCATATGTGCATCTTTCGTTCCTTTTTTTTTTTTGAATTTCCCACAAACAGTTTTTTCCTCTGGAGACCTGATGGTCAGTTCAGGGGCTTGGGCTATGTGAATGAACAGAACAAGCATCAGATTATCTCAGACACCAGTCAAATGGATCTGTTTTCTCTTTCAGTTTGTTAGGTTGGACACAGATTGCCTAAGTAGCCAAGGAACTGAGTAGCTAATATGGAGGGACTGGATAGAATACCAGCGTGGTATACTGGGTAAGAATGGTGGACTCTAATCTGGAGAACCGAGTTTGATTCCCCACTCCTGCACATGAAGCCTGCTGGGCGACCTTGGGCCAGTCACAGTTCTCTCAGAACTCTCTCAACCAATGCTCCCTCTAAGCTGTGGAGCCTTGTGAGCAAAAATTCTACTTTGTGAGCTACTGGCATTAAAGTTGTGAGCGAGCGATTTGGCTGCTGCATACATTAGTTTGCTCTGGAGCCATCCTTCCTGACCTAAGACAAAAATGTGTGAGCCGGAAGCTAAAAAAACTGTGAGCTAGCTCACACTAACTCAGCTTAGAGGGAACACTGCTCTCAACCCCATCTACCTCACAAGAGGCCTGTTGTGCGGAGAGGAAGGGAAGGTGATTGTAAGCTGCTCCTTAGGGTAGAGACAAGCGGGGTATAAAAACCTGCTCTTCTTCATCTTCTGCTGTTCAGCTTGCACTGCCGAACGATCTGCACTAGTTACTTTTCTGTTACTGCAAATCAAAACGCTGGTTCTTACCTTTAAGGCTCTAAACAGCTTGGGGAGGGCAGAGTAAGTGAAGGACTGTTTACTCCCATCCTATCCAGCCTGCCAGTTACGATCTGCATGTGCAGCCCTGCTCGCTGTGCCCCCCACCGTCAGAGAAGCTGGTGGCAGCTCCACCATTTTCTGTGGTGGCACCCAGTGTTCCCTCTCCCTTGAGTCTCACTTGTTGCCGACTTTCCTTTCTTTTAGGCACCAGGCGAAACCATACCTTTTTACCCAGGCTTTTAAATTATGCATTTTATCTGATCAGCTTTTTAATCAACTGCCTCTATTTTATGGATAGTTGTTATAGTGTTGATATCTAACCGCTTGTACTTTAATATTGTGGGGGGTTTTCTCATGTAAGCCACCTCGAGTGGGGCTCTGAAAACGTGGCACACAAACATTCTAAGTAAACAGGGGATGATATTAAATTAGCGGTTTCTTCACTGCTAATTTCTATGGTGATTGAGACTTACTGGAGCACGCATGAAGAGAGGAGCTCTTCGTTTCATAACGATGCACAGAACTATATATAGCTCTTCATTAAAAGGTGGTGGCAAAGTTTACCAGCAATTATTTTGGATAACTCATTCCATGGGTGGGGCTTTCTTCTCTCAGGCTAGCCACATCAGGCCAGCCAGACAATCTGGTAATTCTAGTGATTTAGACCCTCCAGCCTTGGCTGCCTATCCGAGACATTTAAATCTTCGACTTCTTTCCCCACACCTACTAGAAACAAGGACATTTAGACTGCAAGACCTAAAAATAACATTAACTTTAACACCAAATAATTCTCTATTGGTGTAATCTGAGCCACACCCTTAAAGAATGCACGATGAATGACTGGGGCAATTAGGAGGGATCTGGCTACAGCAAGACGTCTGCAGCCACAGAAGATCCTTTGGTGGCTGGCTTTCTAAAAATGAAACACCTGGGATTGCTACTGACAAATCATCGAGGAAAGTCCCCCCCCCCATTTTATTAAAGAACAATGAATTAGAAATACTTGAGTTTAATTTTTCTTTTGGCAACAAATTCTATAATTGGAATATCAATAAAACTGTATAGGGACTATGGAAAACATTCACCACCGGGGAGGAAAATGTAATGACTTAACATGAACTAGTACCAAAACAGTATAAGAAGGTCTAAAAAAAAGTATAAGGAGGTCTACAGAAATAGAAGTGTGTGTTACTTGAGGGCAGAACGGACATTCTAGGCAAAGGAAGGCAGCTCACAAGAGGAGATGGGTATGTGTAGGAAAGGGAGACATAAGCAAGGACCGTGCAACTAATTATTTAGAAGGATAACAATCATCATCTATCAATCAAAGAGAAAAAGGCCACTGCTCTCCTCCTAACAGTGAGTTTGTATCTTAAGCAACACAGGAGTTAAGTGACACAGAAAATGTTACTGGCATTATCACTTCCTATCCTTTCTCAATGGAAATATTTACATTAAAGCATAAAATCCATTCTTTCAAAACACAGGCATCCTATATACTATGTGGAAAATAAAAATGCAGTCTGAAACTGTTCCCTGCTGTCCTCCTAGAATTTGTTCCAAGAGTGTTTATTTTTATATTTTGTTTCTATTCCCTCCCCCCCTTTTTCGTTTCAGCTCTTGGCAGATATTTCGGCCCCTTTTCCCACTGGACATAGCTGCTGCAGTTGGATGGCTTTGCATGCAATCTTTCCCATGCTTCAACCCCTGGAGTTTCACACAGTGCTCACGGGCATTTTAAGGGTATGCCTATACTAGTTATTTGTTAGGGGCCAGTGCCCTGGAGGCACCGTAACGCTGACCCACGGTGTCCACAATGATTTTAAGAAAACCTGTGTTAAAATAGTGTATTTTATTTATTTTTTATTTAACATTCGACTTTATATCCCGCTCAAACCCCCTTATCCAGGGGGTCTCTGAGCGGCTTACAGGTCGGTGCTAGTCACCATTTTTATCCCCTGACTAGGGCCACATATTTATACGGGGCCACATATTTATACGGGGTGGGAAAACCTACCAGCACCCTTATGGTGGTGGTTGGTGTTGTTCTTTCATCCGGCTCAGGTATTGCCACAGCAATAAAATAAATAATTTGCAGATTAAAATGTTCTGCTTTAAACTACTATACGACAAAATGTGGTGTGGATAAAAATCTTATGATCACAGTACTAGTGCTGTCCATGTTCAAAAATGCCTCTTGATTATACTTCCAACCATTACAAATTTGCAGTCTTAATACTCCTCAAAGAAAAAAGAATAATAATCGGCATCATGGCAATTATGAATTTTAGTTTCAGCATACATATTTTAAAGGGTCTGATGGGGAGAGTCAGATGGGGGCCTAGATGAATAACAGATACCAAGTTGTGCATGTGGAGGCAGAAGCATTTCTAATACAGATACACTAGAATAAACAGCACAAATGGATTCATGGCAAATGACTGGAACTAGTATTTTTTTCTAAAAAACAAACAAACAAACCCTCGAGGTTGGTGAACTACTCAACCATGGTGAACTACTCAAATCTAGACCACAGTAGCAGCTGGTGTGCCACTGTATTTTCTTATATAAATTTCCAATTAATGTCTTGTGATGCTACTATACAACAAAGTATGTTGGATTAAGAAGAAGAGGAGGAGATTGGATTTATACCCCGCCCTTCACTACCCGAAGGAGTCTCAGAGCGGCTTACAAATTCCTATCCCTTCCCCTCCCCACAACAGACACCCTGTAAGGTAGGTGGGGCTGAGAGAGCTCTGACCGAAACTGCTCTTTTTCAAGGACAGCTCTTATCAGAACTATGGCTTGCCCAAGGTGCAAGTGGAGGAGTGCGGAATCAAACCCGGTTCTCCCAGATTAGAGTCTGAACACTTAACCACTACACCAAACTGACTCTCCTCTTTAAGCAAACACTCCTCTTTTTATCAATTACTGTAACGTTTCAGCTGAATTTAAGTCTGGTTACTCCAATGCATGGTCTAAAACAGATTAATAGTGGAAAGTGTTGGGCTACCCTGTCGACCCAAGAGGAAGATACCACCCATTATATATGAAAATTTTACTGCCTTACATAACCACAGTTTATATGTGTATTTGCTCTGAACCCCTATGTTCCTTTCAGTTAAATATATATAAACTAGAGGCCCACAAGGAATCATGGTAGCAGGACACAATTTGAAAATGGCAGTTTTCTCCAAGGTCTTTCCCTCAAGCAATCTATGCGCTCTCTAGAACTCAAGCAAGATGGTTTCTCCTCCTCCTGTTTCATTTTGCAGACAAGTTATTCCACCCAAGTCATTATTTAAGGTTCTTAAGGCTGTGAACAGTAAAGGAGTTAAACATGCCCAATCAACTGAAAACAAGCTCAGGAGCAAAATGTTAAAATAAAGAAAAACAACTAAAAAAAAGCAGCAGAAAAACAGATATGGAATGAGTCGTTTAAAGAAAAGGATGAGATAATTCAGCAACATAGCCATGAACATCTGGTTTTCTGCAGAAGCAAAATGAAGATCAATTAATAGAAATAGTCACAATCAGGAAGAGAACCATTTACATGTAAAAATAGAAGCTTGAGAGAAGAAAAACATTTTAAGTCTGGCAAAGAGGATGCCAGAAACACAGGGAAGGCATTCCGCAGACTTTTCCCTCACGGCCACCCACAGCATGCTCAACCAGACCTCACATGTTCAGGAGGGTTCATACGGAAGAAGGGTACCCCCCTTAAGGCACCCCAGAGTCCCATTTAAAGGCGTGCACCAGCATTTTGCACCATGCTTGAAACAAATCAGCAGCCAGTCCCATTTCTTTCAGCTGAGATGTGTTTCATGTGGTTATCAGTAAGGATCCATTTTGCACTAAACGAAGCTTTTAAAGACAGCCCCACATAGAATGCATGGGAATAATCAGGTGTGGATATAATCAGAGCATGGATAATTTATAGCCAGATTCCAGTTTACAAAGGAACACAACTGGTGAACCTACTGACGTTGGTTAAAGGCACCTGAATGTTCATCAGCACCCTAAACTACTTACACACTCTGGAGGAGATATGCTATTACAGAATACCCAAGACAATGGATCCAGCACACTCAAATTTTATCCACTCAGTTATGATGGTCATTTGCAAAGGGCATTTGAATTCCAATGAACAATGATCACATTAACTTTTATACAAAGTTAGTGATATGCTCCTTTCAATATAAGTGATCCTAGCCCACAGAAAAACAAGCAGCTTCAGTGCCCAACTATAACCCTGAAGAATGTGACTATCTTTGTCTCAAAGCAGCATATGATTCCTGGCTCATGTAGTATATAACGGCGTCAAACTTTGAATCATTCATAAAATTTCCCCCCAAACATGTAGCGAGATGTTCTGCAAAAATGTGTTCTCCACAAGTACGGTCTGAAATTATTCACGCACAGGGCCAAACTATGGTTGTCAGGTTGAACACGTAAGGAACAATATTACTAGTCAGCTGAGGTGATGAAGAATCTGTGGTTAGCAACACTTTGTAAGCAGTTTCTAGAACCCACAAGATGCCTGAAAAGCAAGTTTGGGCCCTTGTAACCACTCCAGGGTTCCTGCCAGCCTTTTGCCTCAAAGATTTGGTGGGAAGATCAGTTTGCCGCAAGAGCTGAACTAGTTTTGAGATGCTGGCAGGGATTAGGTAAGGCAGGAGGCACTGCCACACCTATACTCTTCTAGCTTCCTAAGAACAAAGGTTTTACTGAAAGCTGGTATCATGGGCTACCCTGTCGACCCATGCGTGAGGCGTGAGATGGAAACAGTGATTGAAATGTTATCTCAGCCATCACCTCACGAGGATTGCCCTACATTAACAGTCTCTATTTTCTCAGTCTCACTCCATATGGGGTATAATAATTCCCATGTGCTTCCCAAGTTTGTAGTAACACACACGAAGTGTATTGTAAACATTATATATAATTATTTATCCCTGCTGGGGTAGAAAAGAACAACAACAGAACTGAAGGGGGGGGCGGGTAGAGTAAGGACGTCCCGTAAATTGTCATAACACACTCCCAAAGAGACATCAAGGGCTGTTGAAATGCCCAATCCATTCTCCTGGAGGCCAAAGGAAAAAGATTAGATCTCTTGCTCATACACCTGCCCTATGAATCACAGGGAAGGCCTGGGAAATGAGTGCAGCCGGACAGTTTTAATTCCCATGAACAAACGAGGGAGCAAAACATACCCTAAAATGCGTACAGCTATCCCACCGTAAGATGATATTAAAAACAGAACCCCACCCCAAACAGTCCAATTTTAGTAAACGTATAGGAACAGCACACAGACAAAACAAAAAGATCAATAATCAAACCAAGTTGTTTCACAAACAAAAAGTTATCGGCTACCGTCTTTTTACCGATCAGTAGCTCCAAGCCTCTTTTATAAGTTGCAGGTCAGTTTGTACAAGCTAACAAACGTAGTGGCCTGGACTAAACTGTTGTTCACTCTGGAGAAGGGGCTAACAGGGAGAAGGCGGACACGATGAACCGGCTCACAGGTAACGGCCATGTTTATATTCCCACTGTGACTTCCTCCTGGGGATGAGAGAAAGGTATGAGCTAGTCTCAGGTGTCCGGACTGCCAAGCCCTGGTGGATGGGGCTGTGACGGACAGATTAGGTTCTGCCTCTCCCTAAGAGCCACCAACACGAGCTGACAGAGTGTTGGTCAGAGGCGGACAGTTAGACACCTGTTAGTTCAGTTGGGAGTCAGAACTGGCTGAGGGAAGAAGCCGCAAGCTTGAGCCAGGGTGTAGCAGAACGGCTGCGGACTGAGAAAAGGCCGATTTGTAACAAAAGATCCCCAAACGTCTGAGTACAGCTATGGTTCAAAAGTTCAAGTGTGAAGAGACTTTGTAATTATCTACCTGATTCACTCCAACACTGTATTTAAACCATAATTCAAAGCTAACTTTTGTTTATTTAACCCTGTGGGGTGGATATGTATGGTCTCGGGGAAAGAAGCGCACACATGGCAAACTAAGATCTTGGCCTGTATGAATAAACGGTGGCAGCGAATGAAACAGTATTTGAGTCACAACCCCAAAAGCTCCATGCAGTGTCTGATTGAGGGGTGATTGTTCAAGGGGATTGGGCTACCCTGTCCAGTGAGGGAGAAGTGGTGCTGTGAACGGGTCAGCGGCACTCTCTCTATATTTGGAAAGAGGCAAGATGGGTGGAAAACTGAATGCCTAACCTATCTGTAACCCTGAACCTGTGGTGATAGAGGTTGTGAAGGGTAGTAGTTTGGTGTAGTGGTTAAGTGTGTGGACTCTAATCTGGGAGAACCGGGTTTGATTCCCCACTCCTCCACTTGCACCTGGCTGGATGACCTTGGGCAAGCCGTAGCTCTGATAAGAGCTGTTCTTGAAAAAGAGCAGTTTCTGTCAAGAGCTCTCTCAGCCCCACCTATCTCACAGGGTGTCTGTTGTGGGGAGGGGAAGGGAAAGGAGTTTGTAAGCCGCTCTGAGTGAAGGGGGGGGTATAAATCTAATCTCCTCCTCCTCTCTGAGGAGGGGGGAAGGTAAGCTCATAATACTAACAAGTAGTGATTAGAGGTTGTTTTTTAAAAACATACATAATACTGAAATAAGCAAGGATAGGATATACAGATTTAAATTTGACAAACATCTTAGTATTTCATTTGGTGGTAATTATGGCAGCTGTGGAGAGCCCTAGTGTGTAACCCACAGGAAGCAGCAGGAGAGTGAGCTCACCTAACAGTAGTCAGTCAGCTGCATACAATGACAGCTGTTGCTGCAATAATTGGTCAGGCTTAAAGGTGTCCCAAGAGTATCCAACTGCAATCCTATACAGGTTTAGGATTTCAGTGCAATCAGTGCCAACTAGGTATGCATAGGAATGTAGCCTTTGTCTTCTCCACAGCAAGTAACATAACTGTTTCTTTGGAGCTATACGAATATGAAAGAGGCAGAGGCAGCATTTTTTCTGCCACAGCCTGCTCAAATTTAGAATATACATGGCAATTGCATGTGTCCAGGGCTGCTTTTTTTCCTTTTTTTAAAAAACCATTATTAGAAAAAAAAGAAAGCAGAGAAATATACCAAGGACATTCTATTTATTTATGATTGTACTAAATTAAACATTTTAATGTAATACTTCATTATTAGTGCAGATGCATCAACACAAACAGAACCTATTGTGAAATATTTATTATGATTATTAATAATGAATATTGAATTTGTATTCACAGGAAATCCTCTTTTCGAATTAGACATCCATCCCCGCCTGTAATGGTATATTAGAGATACAAAATGGAATTGATCTGAACTTCCACCACTGCCTCCCATTAAGATGCAAACCAAATAATGATCCGGTGATCCATGAAGAAGCTGGCAGGGCAAACACTCATCCTTGTGCTGCACTCCTCGCTCTAACCGCGCCACAGCTTTCCTTTAGAACCAAACCAGCAAATTAGGGTTGGTTTGTATATATCAATTTAGTGTCCAAGTGGGAAGGAAGGGAGAGAGGGTATTGCAGCAAACAAAAGAGAACCCAAGGATTATGCACAAACATCAGATTTAGTATTGCACATGAAGTAAGTCTATCTAGGTAATATCAGCTATGTTCACCTCTAAAAACAGCTGCATTATGAAGTGATGAAGATGATCTGTGTTAGCATAACATATAGCTCTAATCCTGTAAATGTTTTCGGTATGACAGTCACTCTCTTCTCCATATGGGAATATCTGCAGTTTAATAAACCCCATAGGATGAACTGCAAAACCAAAAATCAAACACTTTTCAGCATTCCAGATTTCAAAGTGAGGCCTACTTACCGAAGATTCACTGTCTCTGACAAGGAAGTCCCCTTCCACTCCCCTTTCATTCAGAGCACATTCCGCCTGATGCCGAGTAACATTCCCATAATACCACTCTCTTCCAGCAAACCGTCCTGTAGAAGAGGGCCCTGTGTAGCTTATCTGAGGCGGATGGGAAGCATTAAGGGTAGGACCATCACTTACTATTACTACATAGTTTTTGGGAACAAGACCGATTTGCCCTCGAGAATTTTTACATTTCCACCATTCTGGGTCATTTTCAGGTTTCTCTATGACTTCCATGGTTTCACCTTTCTCAAAGTTGAGCTCTTCTTCTGTGACGGAACTAAACGGATACAGTGTCTGAACAACATGAAGCACTTTCATGGTCTGCCCATTACTCATGGATGCTCCTTTCCTTAAACTCAGAAAACTCGGTGAATCGGCAGTTGCTTCTTCAACTTCTTCTACTACATAGTTTGAAGGAAACCAGCCAATCTGCCCATTGTAGCTCCCTCTCCACCAGCCATCACTGCATTTTTCCATAACAATGACTCGAGATCCTTTCACAAGGGACAATTCATCCTCCCTCTCTGCCATGTAGGCAAATTTAACATAGGCTGGGATGTTCAGATCGTAAATCCGATCAGCACTGCTACCATTAGATGGGTACTCTGCATCAGTGCTAGGAGTTGGAGAAGCATCTCGAGCACTCGTCTTCCTTTTTGTTTTACCCAAACCTGTTGGGAAAAAAAAGAAGAAATCTAATGAACACTCAATAAATATACCGGATCAAGTACAGAGCTGAAAAATCCTCCAACTGCTTCCTGTATCTGTCAAGAAAACAATTAAGACAAAGACAAAAGGAGCGATAATGCCCCAAAAGCTGTCAGGAAAAATGAACATGCTAATATTTAAAGAAGTTTCTTCATTTCAGAAGGGTAACTACTATATAAAAGCTCTGATGTGTCCTTACAGTGTGTTTTCCGGCATAATCACAATAGACGGAACAGACAGAGAAATACAGGCAGTGTGTCAAAGGAAATTCTGTTTTTATAATTCATTACACATTGGGCCATGTTCTAGGAATAGTATCTCTTAAAATGTAAACTGACCTTTAATTGTGACTCCACTACAGTTCTACACAATAAGAAATCACTTCCACTAACAAATATGAACTGGACAAAAGCTACTACAAATAAGAGTTGTTAGGAGCAGATATCTCCCATCTCCCCCACTTCCAACAGCCTCCTGTGCAATTCCCCACACCAGCAAAGACATGGTCTAGGGTCAGGGCACCCTCCCGAAAAAAATGTTGCATGGCACGGAGGAGATGCAGCAGGAACTGGTTGAAATTCCACTGTTATCTTCTCTTCCTCTCTTGCCACCTGTCACCACATGGGAATATTTACTTATTATACCAAACTGCACTGAAGTCAGAATGCAAAAAATACAGCACTTTCAAAAAGCAGAAGTATACATTTTACTAGAAATTTTACAGTAAAGACAAGCACATCAGTTTCACATCAGCATCATTCTGATTAATTACTGAGGTATACATTCAACTGTTGGCACTAAAAGATCGGTAATATAATCTCCATTTTGACACTACTGGGATAAAGATCCAGTGCAGGAATAATTATTCATTACTATGTTCTCAGATTTGCAGTCCCGTTTACGAAGCTCTAAATCACACAGTCCTGACCTGGATAATTCAGGCTAGCTCAAACTCATCATATCTGAAAGATAATCAAGGCCAGTCCTCGTTTGTATTTGGATGGGACACCACCAAGGAAGTCCACAGTTGCTGTGCGGAGGCAGGCAATGGCAAACCACTTCTGAACAGGGTCGCCATAAGTCAGCTGCGCTTGATAGCACTTTCCACCACCAAGCAACACAAAGGTTCACAAACCTAACCCTAATTCAAATTCAAACTTACTTTGCAGTCTGGGATTCTTATTGTATGCAAAAAAATCTAACTCAAACCAAAAAACCAAACACCATTAAACACAATGGCAAACATCACAGATGAAGAAAATCCAAGTTTTCAAATTATACCGGGATCCTATAAGGTCTTTTGCCTAACATACAGGAAATGATTGTGATATGAACATCGACTGAAGGATCATGAGGAGTATAACAAAGAAACTCCATCACTTAAAGAAATTTTTAAAAATCCTAAACAGCAATTTTATTTATATATACATATAAACCTACATGATTACATTAACCAGCATAGTTTGTTTGACTATACCACTTATTAATTACACACCAAACAGTTAAAACCTAAAATGCTGGTCTTGGGCAGCTTAATATGCTGGCTGCACTATGACAAAGTATCATCTCAACAGCATAAAAAAAAAAAGATGTGCTGACAAAATGGAAGTTGAAACAACAAGAAGCACAATAAAAGAAGTGCGCTTGCTGAACTAATATAACCAGCTTCAGGCCCCACTACACCTGAAGGGGGGAAAAACTCTTCTCAGACTGTGCAGGTATGATGTAAAGGTAATAATGCCTCTTCCCCCTCATCTAAGTGATCCAGCCAGGCATTCCTCCTAGCCAGTGAACATACGCCTTAGCAAAGCAATGCAAGTTATGGTACAGTAAAAGCTTTATTAACTGCCACTTGGTTAACTGGAAAGGTACCATTAAATGGCATGCCAGGAACTGCCCAAATCAGTCACATGAATGGCAGTTGAGTTAGTCAGGCGAGCGCAGCTTGACTTGCTTGAGTGCAGCCTGATAAAGTTTTCTTAACCGGCATGTTTAATTAACAGGCAACCCCAATTCCACCTGGATGCCAGTTAATAAAACTGTGACTATACTATGTGACACAGGCCCAGGAAACAGTGCTGCTATTAATTCAGTAAGACTCCAGTAAAAGTTTGTCAATGAAAGGCTCTCTTCAAATGACAGCATAACAGCAGATTCCACTAGGGATGCCAGCTCTGGAATGGGAAATACCTGGAGATTTTGGGGGTGGAGCCTGAGGAGGGTGGGGTTTAGACAGGGGAGGGACTTCAATGGATTAGTGCTATAGAATCCACCTTCCAAAGCAGCCATTTCCTCCAGGGACACTGATCTCTATCAGTTGGAGATCAGTTCTAATAGCAGGAGATCACCAGGTACCACCTGGAGGTTAGCAACTCTGGATTCCACTATTTTCTTCAGTAGTATTACAGGATAATTACTTAAGAACAAGTCCTAGAATCTATATAAATCACTGGCCATTCTGGAGGGGGAACAAAAATTCCCATCAAGTAATACAAGAACACTTAGTCAGAAACTGTGAACAAGTACCGTTTAATGTTAATTGCTGGGAAATTCTGAACTTATATGCCATATGTAGAAGTATTTTAAAAAAATGTTTACATTATTTGCAAAGGTTTATTAAAGGCTAGCAAAATGACTGACATATGATGAGTGCTTTTTGGGGGCTTGTATACTGTAATACCTTCTAGGGATTCCTTATCAGCTACAGTTGTGCAACCCATGATCACAGAGGAAGGCAGGTTTTTCACACATATAACGCTGCCTCAAAATTCAGCATTTACTTTCCCCTTTTTACTTAGAAACCATTCAGTTAAATAGTACAAATGACTTCTGCTTCCTGTTTCCTATATGTCTCCAGTTAACCATGTCTGTAATAATCTTTATGCAAATGATCTTTAGGGAGATAAACTGTGATTTTTTTCTTGTTGTTTCTTGAGAGAGCCCAGATGTTTCAAGCACCAGACTTCTATGTGCTCAGGTGTTATGCCACAACCACAACAGAATTCAGTGCCATTTAGGCTCCAGATTATAAAAAAGATCTATATTTAATCAAATACTGAATGTCATTGAGACACCTACATGATTAACATATGTTTTAATTATTTTCATATCACTAAATGTTGATTTCTATAATCATATTACAATTTATACTGTAGTTTTCATATATCCTCATTAGGCTCTTTTACAATTATGCTTCAAGGTATGAAATACAAGGCAAAATTTCTTACTGTATTATTTATTCATTCAAAACATTTTTATGCCACCTTTCCACCCAATCAGGGTCCACAATGTGGCGAACATTTAAAAAATCAAACAATTTAAAATATAGTTACAATTATAAAATTCAATTAAAACACACAAACCAGTGTTCCTTCTAAGCTGTGCATGTGAGTGGCCGCTCATGAACACAGGAAGCCCCGCTCAGCAGCAGTCTGGAGCTGCACAAGGTCTTGCACTGCCCACTGCCCACCTTAAAATCACAGCAATTATATTCTGCTCAGTATGTCAACTGCTCTGTTCAGTTAGAGGGAACATTGAAACAAACAAACATTCGAAGGGGCCCCAATAACCATTACTGGATGTATGCCAGACAAAACAAAAAAGTCTTCATCTCCTGGCAAAGGATACTGACAAATGGAGACAGACGAATCTCCCTGAGGAGAGAGTTCCAAAGTTTTGGTGCCACGACAGAACAGGCCCTTTCTTGGGTTGCCACCCGTCTAGCCTCAGATGGGGAGGGCAAACAAAGCACAGCCTCTGGGATGACTGGAGGGAGCAGGTAGGCTTGTATGGGAGAAGGCAGTCCTTATGTCTGTCTAGTTTAGTTAGAAAGGACAATCGGGAGTCAACTGTTTTATACTTCCTTGTTTAAAACAATGCCCTCAAGCGTTATTTAAACTGCATGGAGACAAGTCAAAATATAGACTGCCTTTATTATAAGGAAGAGCTGCATCCAATGAAAATTCATAGAAGACAAACTATTACTAGGTCTCCCCTGGAATACTGTGGAAGCTTCAAATACAAAGAAAGATTGTTCATGATTTGGAAATCTGCCCCTGTGCTACTGAACACTATCTGGAACATCTTTTTTACTCTGAAACAAAAAATAAGCTTCAACAACACTAACTATACAAAACCAGTAATCTACAATGAGAAAAATACATTTGAGTATGTCTCGTAGTAATTCAGGTTTCAAGAATAGTTTTGAAATACACAGAGGTACCATTCCCCAGAAGCAACACGTAGGCAAACCTCAAAATGTGATACACAAAATAATTCTCTTTACTAAATGAATAAAATGATACATAAAATGATACTCTTGCCCAGGGGTCTTTTTGTAGAAAAAGAGCTGCCGGAGCTCATTAGCATAACTCATTAGCATATGCCACACCCCCTGACATTACCGGAAGTGTGTCATAAGGCCACACCCCCTGACATCACCGGAAGTGTGCCAGAAGGCCACACCCACCACTCAGGCTCCACCCCAGTCCAACACACTGTGTCACACATCGGCCAAAAATACCAGGGGCCTTCCTGAGGTCCACCAGCGGGGCCTGAAATCCAGAAGCCCATCCAGTCCAACACACTGAAATCCAGAAGCCCTCCCACTCTTGCCCCCCCAAGTACCAAGAACGCAGAGCATCACTGTGCCAGACATAAGAACATAAAAGAAGCCATGCTGGATCAGGCAGGTGGCCCATCCGTTCCAACATTCTGTGTCACACAGTGGCTGAAAATTAGGTGCCACCAAGAGGTCCACCAGTGGTGCCAGAACTCCAGAAGCCCTCCCATTGTTGCCCCCCAAGCACCAAGAATACAGAGCATCCCTGCCCCAGGCAGAGTGTTCCATCTACACCTTCTGGCTAATAGCCACGGAATGTTTCCATATGTGATTCATTTTTTATAAAAGTTGTTTTTAATTTGGTCAATCAGAGACATAAACAGCATGCATTTGACAGAATAA